CTGATTGGCTGTCTGAGTTTTATACGCCTCCTGATTGGCTAGCTGAGTGTTACACGACTCCTGATTGGGTGGCTGAGTGTTACACGCCTCCTGATTGGCTGCCTGAGTGTTACACGCCTCCTGATTGGCTGGCTGAGTGTGACACGCTGATTGGCTGTCTGAGTGTGACACGCCCATGATTGGCTGTCTAAGTGTTACACGCCTCCTGATTGGCTGGCTGAGTGTTACACGCCTCCTGATTGGTTGGCTGAGTGTTAAACGTCTCCTGATTGGCTGGCTGAATGTCAAAGGCCTCCTGATTGGCTGCCTGAGTGTTACACGCCTCCTGATTGGCTGGCTAAGTGTGACACGCCTCCTGATTAGTAGCTGAGTGTTACACGCCTCCTGATTGGCTGGCTGAGTGTTACAGGCCTCCTGATTGGCTGGCTGAGTGTGACACGCCTCCTGATTAGTAGCTGAGTGTTACACGCCTCCTGATTGGCTGGCTGAGTGTGACATGCCTCCTTATTGGCTGCCTGAGTGTTACACGCCTCCTGATTGGCTGGCTGACTGTTACACGCCCCCTGATTGGCTGTTTGAGTGTTACACGCCTCCTGATTGGCTGTCTGAGTGTTACACGCCCCCTGAATGGCTGTCTAAGTGTTACACGCCTCCTGATTTGCTGGCTGAGTGTTACACGCCTCCTGATTGGTAGCTGAGTGTTACACGCCTCCTGATTGGCTGCCTGAGTGTTACACGCCTCCTGATTGGCTGCCTGAGTGTGACACGCCTCTTTATTGGCTGTCTGAGTGTTACAGGCCTCCTGATTGGCTGCCTGAGTGTTACACGCCCCTTGATTGGCTGGCTGAGTGTTACACGCCTCCTGATTGGCTGGCTGAGTTTTACAGGCCTCCTGATTGGCTGGCTGAGTGTTACACGCCTCCTGATTGGCTGGCTCAGTGTTACATGCCTCCTGATTTGCTGGCTGAGTGTTACACGCCTCCTGACTGGCTGCCTGAGTGTTACACGCCTCCTGATTGGCTGGCTGAGTGTTAAACTCCTCCTGAGTGTTAGCTGAGTGTTACACGCCTCATGACTGGCTGCCTGAGTGTTACACACGTTCTGATTGGATGGCTGACTGTTACACGCCTCCTGATTGGCTGGCTAAGTATTACATGCCTCCTGATTGGTAGCTGAGTGTTACACGCCTCCTGATTGGCTGGCTGAGTGTTACACGCCTCCTGAGTGGTAGCTGAGTGTTACATGCCTCCTGATTTGCTGGCCTAGTGTGACATGCCTCCTTATTGGCTGGCTGAATGTTACACGCCTCCAGATTGGCTACAAGAGTGTTACATGCCTCCTAATTGGCTTCCTGAGTATGACACGCCTCCTGATTGGCTGGCTGAGTGTTACATGTCTCCTGAATGGCTGTCTGAGTGTTACACGCCTCCTGATTGGCTGCCTGAGTGTTACACACCCCTGATTGGCTGGCTGAGTTTACAGGCCTCCTGATTGGCTGGCTGAGTGTTACACGCCTCCTGATTGGCTGGCTGAGTGTTACATGCCTCCTGATTGGTAGCTGAGTGTTACACGCCTCCTGATTGGTAGCTGAGTGTTACACGCCCCCTGATTGGCTGTGTAAGAGTGACACGCCTCCTGACTGGCTAGTTGAGTGTTACACGCCTCCTGATTGGCTAGCTGAGTGTTACACGCCCCTTGATTGGCTGGCTGAGTGTTACACGCCTCCTGATTGGCTGGCTGAGTTTTACAGGCCTCCTGATTGGCTGGCTGAGTGTTACACGCCTCCTGATTGGCTGGCTCAGTGTTACATGCCTCCTGATTTGCTGGCTGAGTGTTACACGCCTCCTGACTGGCTGCCTGAGTGTTACACGCGTTCTGATTGGCTGGCTGAGTGTCAAAGGCTTCCTGATTGGCTACCTGAATGTTACACCCCTCCTAATTGGCTGCCTGAGTGTTACACACCCCTGATTGGCTGGCTGAGTGTTAAACTCCTCCTGAGTGTTAGCTGAGTGTTACACGCCTCCTGACTGGCTGCCTGAGTGTTACACGCGTTCTGATTGGATGGCTGACTGTTACACGCCTCCTGATTAGCTGGCTAAGTGTTACATGCCTCCTGAATGGCTGTCTGAGTGTTACACGCCTCCTGATTGGCTGCCTGAGTGTTACACACCCCTGATTGGCTGGCTGAGTTTACAGGCCTCCTGATTGGCTGGCTGAGTGTTACACGCCTCCTGATTGGCTGGCTGAGTGTTACATGCCTCCTGATTGGTAGCTGAGTGTTACACGCCTCCTGATTGGTAGCTGAGTGTTACACGCCCTCTGATTGGCTGTGTAAGAGTGACACGCCTCCTGACTGGCTAGTTGAGTGTTACACGCCTCCTGATTGGCTAGCTGAGTGTTACACGCCCCTTGATTGGCTGGCTGAGTGTTACACGCCTCCTGATTGGCTGGCTGAGTTTTACAGGCCTCCTGATTGGCTGGCTGAGTGTTACACGCCTCCTGATTGGCTGGCTCAGTGTTACATGCCTCCTGATTTGCTGGCTGAGTGTTACACGCCTCCTGACTGGCTGCCTGAGTGTTACACGCGTTCTGATTGGCTGGCTGAGTGTCAAAGGCTTCCTGATTGGCTACCTGAATGTTACACCCCTCCTAATTGGCTGCCTGAGTGTTACACGCCTCCTGATTGGCTGGCTGAGTGTTAGCTGAGTGTTACACGCCTCCTGACTGGCTGCCTGAGTGTTACACGCGTTCTGATTGGATGGCTGACTGTTACACGCCTCCTGATTGGCTGGCTAAGTGTTACATGCCTCCTGATTGGTAGCTGAGTGTTACACGCCTCCTGATTGGCTGGCTGAGTGTTACACGCCTCCTGAGTGGTAGCTGAGTGTTACATGCCTCCTGATTTGCTGGCCTAGTGTGACATGCCTCCTTATTGGCTGGCTGAATGTTACACGCCTCCAGATTGGCTACAAGAGTGTTACATGCCTCCTAATTGGCTTCCTGAGTATGACACGCCTCCAGATTGGCTACAAGAGTGTTACATGCCTCCTAACTGGCTGCCTGAGTGTGACACGCCTCCTTATTTGCTGCCTGAGTGTAACACGCCTCCTGATTGGCTGCCTGAGTGTTACACGCCTCCTTATTGGCTGGCTAAGTGTTACATGCCTCCTGGATTGGTGGGCAGAGTGTGACACGCCTCCTTATTGGCTGGCTGAGGGTTAAACGTCTCCTGATTGGCTGGCTGAATGTCAAAGGCTTCCTGATTGGCTACGTGAGTGTTACACCCCTCCTAATTGGCTGCCTGAGTGTGACACGCCTCCTGATTGGCTAGCTGAGTGTTACACGCCTCCTGATTGGCTGGCTGAGTGTTCAACGCCCCTGATTGGCTGTCTGAGTGTTACACGCCTCCTGATTGGCTGGCTGAGTGTTACACGCCCCTGATTGGCTGTCTGAGTGTTACACGCATCCTGATTGGCTAGCTGAGTGTTACACGCCTCCTGATTGGCTGGCTGAGTGTTACACGCCTCCTGATTGGCTGGCTGAGTGTTACACGCCTCCTGATTGGCTGGCTGAGTGTTACACGCCTCCTGATTGGCTGGCTGAGTGTTACACGCCTCCTGATTGGTAGCTGAGTGTTACACGCCTCCTGATTGGCAGCCTGAGTGTTACACGCGTCCTGATTGGCTGCCTGAGTGTGACACGACTCTTGATTGGCTGGCTGAGTGTTACACGGCCCCGATTGGCTGTCTGAGTGTTACATGCCTCCTGATTGGCTAGCTGGTGTTACACGCCTTCTGATTGGCTGGCTGAGTGTTACACGCCTCCTGATTGGTAGCTGAGTGTTACACGCCTCCTGATTGGCTGGCTGAGTGTTACACACGTTCTGATTGGCTGGCTGAGTGTCAAAGGCTTCCTGATTGGCTACCTGAGTGTTACACCCCTCCTATGGCTGCCTGAGTGTGACACGCCTCATTATTCGCTGCCTGAGTGTTACACGCCTCCTGATTGGCTAGCTGAGTGTTACACGCCTCCTGATTGGCTAGCTGAGTGTTACACGCCTCCTGATTGGCTGGCTGAGTGTTACACACCCCTGATTGGCTGGCTGAGTTTACAGGCCTCCTGATTGGCTGGCTGAGTGTTACACGCCTCCTGATTGGCTGGCTGAGTGTTACACGCCTCCTGATTGGTAGCTGAGTGTTACACGCCTCCTGATTGGTAGCTGAGTGTTACACGCCCCCTGATTGGCTGTGTAAGAGTGACACGCCTCCTGACTGGCTAGTTGAGTGTTACACGCCTCCTGATTGGCTAGCTGAGTGTTACAAGCCTCCTGATTGGCTGGCTGAGTGTTACACGCCTCCTGATTGGCTGGCTGAGTTTTACAGGCCTCCTGATTGGCTGGCTGAGTGTTACACGCCTCCTGATTGGCTGGCTCAGTGTTACATGCCTCCTGATTTGCTGGCTGAGTGTTACACGCCTCCTGACTGGCTGCCTGAGTGTTACACGCGTTCTGATTGGCTGGCTGAGTGTCAAAGGCTTCCTGATTGGCTACCTGAATGTTACACCCCTCCTAATTGGCTGCCTGAGTGTTACACGCCTCCTGATTGGCTGGCTGAGTGTTAAACTCCTCCTGAGTGTTAGCTGAGTGTTACACGCCTCCTGACTGGCTGCCTGAGTGTTACACGCGTTCTGATTGGATGGCTGACTGTTACACGCCTCCTGATTGGCTGGCTAAGTGTTACATGCCTCCTGATTGGTAGCTGAGTGTTACACGCCTCCTGATTGGCTGGCTGAGTGTTACACGCCTCCTGAGTGGTAGCTGAGTGTTACATGCCTCCTGATTTGCTGGCCTAGTGTGACATGCCTCCTTATTGGCTGGCTGAATGTTACACGCCTCCAGATTGGCTACAAGAGTGTTACATGCCTCCTAATTGGCTTCCTGAGTATGACACGCCTCCAGATTGGCTACAAGAGTGTTACATGCCTCCTAACTGGCTGCCTGAGTGTGACACGCCTCCTTATTTGCTGCCTGAGTGTAACACGCCTCCTGATTGGCTGCCTGAGTGTTACACGCCTCCTTATTGGCTGGCTAAGTGTTACATGCCTCCTGATTGGTGGGCAGAGTGTGACACGCCTCCTTATTGGCTGGCTGAGGGTTAAACGTCTCCTGATTGGCTGGCTGAATGTCAAAGGCTTCCTGATTGGCTACGTGAGTGTTACACCCCTCCTAATTGGCTGCCTGAGTGTGACACGCCTCCTGATTGGCTAGCTGAGTGTTACACGCCTCCTGATTGGCTGGCTGAGTGTTCAACGCCCCCTGATTGGCTGTCTGAGTGTTACACGCCTCCTGATTGGCTGGCTGAGTGTTACACGCCCCCTGATTGGCTGTCTGAGTGTTACACGCATCCTGATTGGCTAGCTGAGTGTTACACGCCTCCTGATTGGCTGGCTGAGTGTTACACGCCTCCTGATTGGCTGGCTGAGTGTTACACGCCTCCTGATTGGCTGGCTGAGTGTTACACGCCTCCTGATTGGCTGGCTGAGTGTTACACGCCTCCTGATTGGCTGGCTGAGTGTTACACGCCTCCTGATTGGTAGCTGAGTGTTACACGCCTCCTGATTGGCAGCCTGAGTGTTACACGCGTCCTGATTGGCTGCCTGAGTGTGACACGACTCTTGATTGGCTGGCTGAGTGTTACACGGCCCCGATTGGCTGTCTGAGTGTTACATGCCTCCTGATTGGCTAGCTGGTGTTACACGCCTTCTGATTGGCTGGCTGAGTGTTACACGCCTCCTGATTGGTAGCTGAGTGTTACACGCCTCCTGATTGGCTGGCTGAGTGTTACACACGTTCTGATTGGCTGGCTGAGTGTCAAAGGCTTCCTGATTGGCTACCTGAGTGTTACACCCCTCCTATGGCTGCCTGAGTGTGACACGCCTCATTATTCGCTGCCTGAGTGTTACACGCCTCCTGATTGGCTAGCTGAGTGTTACACGCCTCCTGATTGGCTAGCTGAGTGTTACACGCCTCCTGATTGGCTGGCTGAGTGTTACACGCCTCCTGATTGGTGGCTGAGTGTTACACGCCTCCTGATTGGCGGCCTGAGTGTTACACGCCTCCTGATTGGCTGGCTGAGTGTGACACACCACCTTATTGGCAGGCTGAGTGTTACATGCCTCCTGATTGGCTGGCTGAGTGTTACACGCCTCCTGATTCGCTGGCTGAGTGTGACACGCCTCCTTATTGGCTGGCTGAGTGTTACATGCTTCCTGATTGGCTAGCTGAGTGTTACACACCTCCTGATTAGTAGCTGAGTGTTACACACCTCCTGATTGGCTGGCTGACTGTTACATGCCTCCTGATTGGCTGCTGTAGTATAAAATTTAGAGTAGGTTAGTGCATATTATAAGTAGGTTAGTACATATTACAAGTTAGTAATCAATTAATCACACAGAAGTTTTCTTATGCACTGTTGTTTGTTCACACAGATAACTGGAAATCAAGTAGAGAGCACTATGTTTTAAGTAATGACGATTTTGAGTGTTAAGTAGAATAGATTTATATAAGCTCACAAGGATGTTAATGAAGGCATGTGTTTTAAGTTTGTATGATTTCATGATAAGCACAAATACAAGTTTTCTTATCAGTAGTAAGCACCATGGTTATTTAGTAAAGGTTTGTTTTAATGTGTGGAACATATAGAATGTGTGGTTGTAACACAAGTTTTTCTCATCATATCTAGAAATGAGCACTGATTATACCAAATGTATGTGTGTGGTTGTAACACAAGTTTCTTATCATATTATAAAGTTTATAAAGTTTTTAAAAAATACAGTAAAACACATCTGTGACATAATGGTGTAAGGAAAAGGTAATAAATGGATTTTAAAAAATAGAAGTACAGCAAACTAGATTCTAATGGTGTAATCATGATGAAAGGAGAGCCAAAAGAAAATGTCATGGCCTACTAGTGTAGGCCATGAAGCCTGTGGGTTCTGTGATAAGAACATAGGCCTGACGGGGCAGGCAAGTAAGACACCAGTAGGATGGAGCGTGAGCAAAGCAAAGGCAGGATAATTGGGCTGATAAGACAACCACTAGGATGGCGCATGGGCCCAACAAGGGCAAAATAATTGGGACCCACGTACTGGTGGAGATTTAGGGTCTTTTCAAAGTAGATATACACCATTATGTCGTGGATGGAAAAGGTAGAAGGTGGGCAGGACTTGTGACAGAGGGCAAAAGTATATAAGGAGAAGCTTTGTGAGGATGAATTCAGTCTTTCCATGGATGGCTCGGGCTTTGTTTGTCTGTCAAGATAATAAAGCTCTATTCTACTGCCAACTTTGATGAATCCTGGTTTTTATTTTTCCACCTGAAGGAGAATAACTTTTAGACCTAATTTGGACTTAGAAAATCATATGTTGGACACATCTTCTGATCAAAAAGAGAACTCATTCTGACCCAGACCCAACACTGCATTAGTGTGACACGCCTCCTCATTGGCTGGCAGAGCGTTACACGGCTCTTGATTGGCTGACTGAGTGTTACATGCTTCCTGATTTGCTGGCTTAGTGTGACACGGTTCCTGATTTGCTGGCTTAGTGTACAAGGCCTCCTGATTGGCTACCTGAGTGTTACAAGCCTTCTGATTGGCTAGCTTAGTGTGACACGCCTCCTGATTTGCTGGCTCAGTGTTACATGCCTGCTCACTGGCTGGCTGACTGTTACATACCTCCTGATTGGCTGGCTGACTGTTACATACCTCCTGATTGGCTGGCTGAGTGTTACACACCTCCTGATTTGCTGGCTGAGCGTTACATGCTTCCTGATTGGCTGCATTAGTGTGACACGCCTCCTTATTGGCTGGCTGAGTGTTACACGGCTCTTGATTTGCTGGCTTTATTGCCTGGCTAAGTGTAAAAGTGTTCCTGATTTGTTGACTGAGGGGCATATGCCTCCTGATTGGCTGCCTGAGTGTGACACACCTCCTGATTGGCTTCCTGAATGTTACACAACTCCTGATTGGCTGACTGAGTGTTACAAGCCTCCTCATTGGCTAGCTGAGTGTGACACGCCTCCTGATTTGCTGGCTGAGTGTTACAAGCCTGCGCATTGGCTGGCTGAGTGTTACAAGCCTGCGCATTGGCTGGCTGACTGTTACATTAGTCCTGATTGGCTGGCTGAGTGTGACACATCTCCTGATTGGCTGGCTGAGTGTTACACATCTCCTGATTGGCTGGCTGAGTGTGACACGGCTCCTGATTGGCTGGTGTAACCTGCCTCAGCTCTAACTGTTGATGGCAAAGACTGGGAGATACAGATATGTTTATTTTATCAGTGCATTAATTAAATCGTGGACCAGGAAATCAGAAGTCTAGATCGCTATAGGAGAAAGGGGTATTAGCAATGGGCATTGAGTGACAGGGTAAAGAATTCACACAACCAACAGGTAAGTTTTAAGTGTGTTATATTATGTTGAATAAAGAAATAAAATTTAGAATAAATAGTAAAAAAAATAATTTAATTGTCAGCAAACACATGACATATCAACTACAGTTCTCAATAAATCCCGTCACTGAATAAATCAGTCTCTGTTTTGGGTGGCTCGCCACTACCACTGAGGTTCCCCTCTACCTTTACAGGATGGGAGGGATCCCAGCAGAAGAAGAAAAAATCTTCATGCAGATCTCAACCCAGGAATCCATACAAGAAAGAAAAAGACCCAGCCTATAAAGGCCAAAAGAGGGTTATTGTAATATTCATATAAATGAAATATACTCTTAAATGTAAATAAATGCATATAAACACACATATTTATACATGTACACTGTAACACTGTTTCCTAATAATCGTTTTAACTACTCTTTACTGTGCATTAAATGAACTGAACACATTTCTCAACATTAACATGAGACAAAATGACTGAACATTTCTTTCTGTTCATCTCCTTTCTTTCTTTTTTTTTTCCGCTCACTCTCAGAGAAAACACACAGAGTGGGGATAATGTAAATAAAACACAGTAATATAAAAAAAATTTTTAAAACACAACATACATGAAATTAATGCGTCGTTAATCCATATTAACATTAGCAGATGCACATTTCAACTCCATTTATCGGACTAACATCAATAAAGTTTACTCACCAGAGGATCAAGCATCACATACACACACACACTCCGGGCACAAGGCAGAATACACAGCTCTCATCAGTCCAGGTTCCACTTTTGAAGAGACAGGGACACGGGAGTCAGTAATGTGTAACCTCACAAATAGAATTTAGCGAAGTACATGTGGCTAGTGGCATGAGCTAGTGCCATGGCTGCTAATAACACAACTCACGTTCTCCTTCGTTTCTGTCACAAAACACACGGTCCGCTAATCAACCCACGGCAAAAAAAACTTCACTCTCTGCGCCGACGATAAACATAACTGATACGTTGGAATATCTGGCTTTCTCACACAACCAGTAATATCTGCAGCAAAAGGTTAGCAAGCAGCCACCTCGATGACGCCCGGTGGAGAGAGAAAAAAAAACAAAAACACGGCAGCACGTACACCTTGACGGCGTCTGATTGGTTACGCTACGTTACATCACGTGAACTCCTCATGTCACCCGAATCTTGTACACTTTGAGAAAGGCACATTTGCCACACTTGCAGTAACAAAATGTTCTTTTTAAACAGATATAAATTAACTTGTGTATATAAATCTCTTTTTTCCTGTTTATTGACATATTTAAGATTTTAATCATAAATCCTCGTTATTCATTTTGTGTAAAATTATTTTCAATCAACTCTATTTATTTATTAATCTGTCACATAAAAAATATGAATTTATTAATTTATTGATCTAATCGATGAACTGATGAACTGGACTTCTAATAAGGGCCTAGTAACCAGGGTTACACTGGCTTAGTGTACAAGGCCTCCTGATTGGCTACCTGAGTGTTAAATACTTCCTGATTTGCTGGCTGAGTGTGATACATCTCATGATTGGCTGGCTGAGTGTTACATACCTCCTGATTGGCTGGCTGAGTGTTACACACCTCCTGAATGACTGACTGAGTGTTACACACCTGCGCATTGGCTGGCTGACTTTTACAAGCCTCATGATTGGCTGGCTGACTGTCAATTTCCTCCTGATTACCTACCTGAGTGTTACAAGCCTCCTGATTGGCTGGCTGACTGTTACATACCTCCTGATTGGCTGGCTGAATGTTACACACCTCCTAATTGGCTGGCTGACTGTTACATGCCTCCTGATTGGCTGCATTAGTGTGACACGCCTCCTTATTGGCTGGCTGAGTGTTACAAGCCTCCTGATTGGCTGGCTGAGTGTTACACGCCTCCTGATTGGCTGGCTGACTGTTACATACCTCCTGATTGGCTGGCTGAGTGTTACACACCTCCTGATTGGCTGGCTGACTGTTACATGCCTCCTGATTGGCTGCATTAGTGTGACACGCCTCCTTATTTGCTGGCTGAGTGTTACACAGCTCTTGATTTGCTGGCTTAGTGTAAAAGGCTTCCTGATTGCCTACCTGAGTGTGACACATTTCCTGATTGGCTGCATTAGTGTTACATGCTTCCTGATTGGCTGGCTGAGTGTGACACATCTTCTGATTTGCTGCCTAAATGTTACACACCTCCTGATCGGCGGACTGAGTGTGACAAGCCTCCTCATTGGCTGGCTGAGAGTGACACGCCTCCTGATTTGCTAGCTGAGTGTTACACGCCTGCACAATGGCTGGCTGAGTGTTAAACGCCTCCTGAATGGCTGCATGACTTTTACATACCTCCTGATTGGCTGGCTGAGTGTCACAAGCCTCCTGTTTGGCTGGCTGAGTGTGACACGCCTGCTCATTGGCTGGCTGAGTGTTACATGCCTCCTGATTGGCTGGCTGACTGTTACATACCTCCTGATTGGATGGCTGCGTGTTACACACCTCCTTATTGGCTGGCTGAAGGTTAAATGCCTCCTGATTGGCTGCATTAGTGTGACACGCCTCCTTATTGGCTGGCTGAGTGTTACACGGCTCTTGATTTGCTGGCTTGGTGGAAAAGGCGTCCTGATTGGCTGGCTGAGTGTTACATGCTTCCTGATTTACTGGCTGCGTGTGACACATCTTCTGATTGGCTGGCTGAGTGTTACATGCTTCCTGATTTGCTGGCTGAATGTTACACGCCTCTTTATTGCCTGGCTAAGTGTAAAAGTGTTCCTGATTTGTTGATTGAGTGGCATATGCCTCCTGATTGGCTGCCTGAGTGTGACACGCCTCCTGATTGGCTGCCTGATTTGTTACACACCTCCTGATTGGCTGACTGAGTGTTACAAGCCTCCTCATTGGCTGACTGAGTGTGACACGCCTCCTGATTTGCTGGCTGAGTGTTACACGCCTGCGCATTGGCTGGCTGAGTTTTACACGCCTCATGATTGGCTGGCTGACTGTTACATACCTCCTGATTGGCTGGCTGAGTGTTACACACCTCCTGATTGGCTGGCTGACTGTTACATGCCTCCTGATTGGCTGCATTAGTGTGACACGCCTTCTTATTGGCTGACTGAGTGTTACAAGCCTCCTGATTGGCTGGCTGAGTCTGACACGCCTCATGATTGGCTGGCTGACTGTTACATACGTCCTGATTGGCTGGCTGAGTGTTACACACCTCCTGATTGGCTGGCTGACTGTTACATGCCTCCTGATTGGCTGCATTAGTGTGACACGCCTTCTTATTGGCTGACTGAGTGTTACAAGCCTCCTGATTGGCTGGCTGAGTCTGACACGCCTCCTGATTTGCTGGCTGAGTGTTACATGCCTGCTCATTGGCTGGCTGAATGTTACACGCCTCCTGATTTGCTGGCCGACTGTTACATAACTCGTGATTGGCTACCTGAGTGTTACATGCCTCATGATTGGCTGGCTGACTGTTAAATACCTCCTGATTGGCTGGCTGAGTGTTACACACCTCCTGATTGGCTGGCTGACTGTTACATGCCTCCTGATTGGCTGCCTAAATGTTCCACACCTCCTGATCGGCTGACTGAGTGTGACACATTTCCTGATTGGCTGCATTAGTGTTGCATGTTTCCTGATTGGCTGGCTGAGTGCGACACGCCTCCTGATCGGCTGCCTAAATGTTCCACACCTCCTGATCGGCTGACTGAGTGTGACAAGCCTCCTCATTGGCTGGCTGAGAGTTACACGGCTCTTGATTTGCTGGCTTGGTGTCACAGGCGGCCTGATTGGCTGCATGAGTGTCACATGCTTCCTGATTTGCTGACTGAGTGTGACACATCTCCTGATTGGCTGGCTGAGTGTCACATGCTTCCTGATTGGCTGGCTTAGTGTGACACGGCTCCTGATTTGCTGGCTTAGTGTACAAGGACTCCTGATTGGCTAACTGAGTGTTAAATACTTCCTAATTTGCTGGCTGAGTGTGACACACCTCCTTATTGGCTGGCTGAGTTTAACAAGCCTTCTGATTGCCTAGCTTAGTGTTACACGCCTCCTGATTTGCTGGCTTAGTGTTACATGCTTGCTCATTGGCTGGCTGAGTGTTACACACCTCCTGATTGGCTGGCTGACTGTTACACACCTCCTGATTGGCTGGCTGAGTGTTACATGCTTCCTGATTGGCCGGCTGAGTGTGACACATCTTCTGATTTGCTGCCTGAGTGTGACACGCCTCTTTATATCCTGGCTAAGTGTAAAAGTGTTCCTGATTTGTTGACTGAGTGACATATGCCTCCTGATTGGTTGCCTAAGTCTGACACGGCTCCTGATTGGCTGGCTGACTCTTACATACCTCCTGATTGGCTGGCTGAGTGTTACACACGTCCTTATTGGCTGGCTGACGGTTACATGCCTCCTGATTGGCTGAATTAGTGTGACACGCCTCCTTATTGACTGGCTGACTGTCAAAGGCCACCTGATTGGCTGCATGAGTGTGACAAGATTCCTGATTGGCTGCCTGAGTGTGATACGTCTCCTTATTGCCTGGCCGAGTTTTACACGGGTCTTGATTGACTGGCTGAGTGTTACATGCGTCCTGATTGGCTACCTGAGTGCTACATAATTCCTGATTGGCTGGCTGAGTGTGACACATCTCCTGATTGGCTAGCTGACTGTTACATGCTTCCTGATTGGCTGGCTGAGTGTGACACATTTCCTGATTGGCTGGCTGAGTTTTACACGCCTCCTGATATGCTGGCTGACTGTTAAATGCCCCCTGATTGGCTCCATTAGTGTGACCCGACTCATTATTGGCTGGCTGAGTGTTAAAAGCCTCCTGATTGGCTGACTGAGTTTGACACCCCTTCTGATTGGCTGGCTGAGTGTGACACATCTCCTGATCTGCTGGCTGAGTGTTACATGCTTCCTGATTGGCTGGCTGAGTGTGACACGCGTCCTTATTGGCTGGCTGAGTGTTACAAGCCTTCTTATTGGCTAGCTTAGAGTGACACGCATCCTGATTTGCTGGCTTAGTGTTACATGCCTGCTCATATGCTGGCTGAGTGTGACACATTTCCTGATTGGCTGCCTGAGTGTGACACGCCTCTTTATATCCTGGCTAAGTGTAAAAGTGTTCCTGATTTGTTGACTGAGTGACATATGCCTCCTGATTGGTTGCCTAAGTCTGACACGGCTCCTGATTGGCTGGCTGACTCTTACATACCTCCTGATTGGCTGGCTGAGTGTTACACACGTCCTTATTGGCTGGCTGACGGTTACATGCCTCCTGATTGGCTGAATTAGTGTGACACGCCTCCTTATTGACTGGCTGACTGTCAAAGGCCACCTGATTGGCTGCATGAGTGTGACAAGATTCCTGATTGGCTGCCTGAGTGTGATACGTCTCCTTATTGCCTGGCCGAGTTTTACACGGGTCTTGATTGACTGGCTGAGTGTTACATGCGTCCTGATTGGCTACCTGAGTGCTACATAATTCCTGATTGGCTGGCTGAGTGTGACACATCTCCTGATTGGCTAGCTGACTGTTACATGCTTCCTGATTGGCTGGCTGAGTGTGACACATTTCCTGATTGGCTGGCTGAGTTTTACACGCCTCCTGATATGCTGGCTGACTGTTAAATGCCCCCTGATTGGCTCCATTAGTGTGACCCGACTCATTATTGGCTGGCTGAGTGTTAAAAGCCTCCTGATTGGCTGACTGAGTTTGACACCCCTTCTGATTGGCTGGCTGAGTGTGACACATCTCCTGATCTGCTGGCTGAGTGTTACATGCTTCCTGATTGGCTGGCTGAGTGTGACACGCGTCCTTATTGGCTGGCTGAGTGTTACAAGCCTTCTTATTGGCTAGCTTAGAGTGACACGCATCCTGATTTGCTGGCTTAGTGTTACATGCCTGCTCATATGCTGGCTGAGTGTGACACATTTCCTGATTGGCTGGCTGAGTTTTACACGCCTCCTGATATGCTGGCTGACTGTTAAATGCCCCCTGATTGGCTCCATTAGTGTGACCCGACTCATTATTGGCTGGCTGAGTGTTAAAAGCCTCCTGATTGGCTGACTGAGTTTGACACCCCTTCTGATTGGCTGGCTGAGTGTGACACATCTCCTGATCTGCTGGCTGAGTGTTACATGCTTCCTGATTGGCTGGCTGAGTGTGACACGCGTCCTTATTGGCTGGCTGAGTGTTACAAGCCTTCTTATTGGCTAGCTTAGAGTGCCACGCATTCTGATTTGCTGGCTTAGTGTTACATGCCTGCTCATATGCTGGCTGAGTGTTACACGCCTCCTGATTGGCTGGCTGACTATTACATACCTCCTGATTGGCTTGCTGAGTGTTACACACCTCCTG